ACAGTGGGTGGCCAGTGACTGTTCAGAGTCAGATGGGGGTGGCAGACTGTAGTTCTCCAAACGGTCAGATCCATATTTATTTATTTATTTATTTTTAAAAAGATTTATTTGACAGAGAGAGATCACAAGCAGGCAGAGGCAGGCAGAGAGAGGGGGAAGCAGGCTCCCCGCTGAGCAGAGAGCCCGATGTAGGGCTCAATCCCAAGACCCTGGGATCATGACCTGAACCGAAGGCAGAGGCTTTAACCCACTGAGCCACCCAGGTGCCCCTGGATCCGTATTTCCAATTCCACTTCCAGAACATTCTACTCCCATTAAGGCATTCCCCCATCTATAAAACGTGGGTGAGGCTTGAGGTGGCTCTGACCATAGAGTGTGGCAGAAATGATGCCATGTGACTTCTGATTCAGCGCTCCCTCAGGAGGATCCCTGGAACGTGGCCACCTGTGTGAGGAAGCACAGGCCACTAGAGAGGCCACCTGGGTGTGTTCTGGCTGACAGTAGCCGTCAGGCTGGACTTAAGTCTTTCATCCAATGGGCAGACATGAGACCCCACCTTTGAGCCACCTCTCTGGGGGTGTTCTGTGGTGCTGAGGTGAGCTGTCCCACCAAGTCCTGGCTGAGGTATAAATTCATGAGCAAAAGAGATGTTGTCACTGTATTAAACCACTACTTTTGGGGGGTGACCTCTTAGGCAGTCAAAGCAACGGTAATAGCAATTGTTTAATAATTAACCCCATTTGAGACATGAATAGGTGCTTCAGCTGGTCTCGTCAAAGGCATCCCTGCTGGTAAGCAGCAGGTGATTCCAGAGGCCAGTGTTTATTTATTTTTACCTTTTCATCAAGAACATTTTCAAACAAAAGTAGAGAGAATAGCATGATTAACCTCCATGTACCCATTACCCCATCACCGGGATTCAAGAGTTACCAACTCATGGCTGATCTTGTTTCCTCCCTACTATCAATCACCTCCCTCCACTGCTAGATTGTTTCGTTCTCTTTTTAAAGATTTATTTATCTATTTATTTATTTGGCACATATATAGAGAGAGAGTCCAGTCTTCTTAAGGACTCTATTACCCTACCATCCAAGTATCTACATCAAGTTGAGTTGATGTAGTGGCCTGGGGCCAGTTAGCTGACCACCAAGCAAGCAGGCATTAGGAAGAGCAAGACGTCAAAGACACGGTCAGTTTGTGTGGGTCAACATTTGCTCTGTGATTTTGCAGGAAACTCAGATGCCGTTTATCTGGGCTTCAGAGCTGCACAGCTTGATGCTGAATGAAAGTATCTTGAGCCACACATGTGAAGAAAAAAGGCTCTTCTCTAAGAATCTGAACTCAAATCCAATATGAAAAGCACAGGTCACTGTGGGTCCCGTCAGGAGCCCAGGGAGTTGTCAGCAGGGCTCACTGGACCTATTCATCTCTGCAATCCATACAGATAAACTAAGCAATGCTCTTGGTTTTGACAAATGAATTCCCTGTCTTGTTATCCTTAGCTAACCCTCTTATTCTTGCCCTTTTTGCTGAGAGGAGTTAATGTTAATGCATTTATTTAATTCAGAGACCCCAGACTTCCAAAGCAAAAAAGCCAATCAGCATGAGGCATCCAGCATATTGCGTTGGCCAGAGTAAGTGTTAAATAACAGTCATTACCCTTCTGTGTTACCCAGCTGCACGGTCTCGCCTGCCAACCCTCCTCTGGGAGGCCCTGGCACTGGGGGAGCAGGCCCCTATCAGGCCCGTGGTGTCTGGCACAGCGGCGAGGGCTCTTGGCTGCCCAGGCACAGTGACATGAGCAGACCTCACTATGGCCTCCAGGCTGGCAAGCCCCACCTTGGCTGGGCAAGCAGAAGCCCCTTAGGGTCCTCCCTAAGGAGGCTCTCAGCCTCCTTGGCTCTCAGATCCCCGCCCCTGTGTGTGTGCTGGGGCCGAAGCAAGCCCAGCTAACGAGGCATCTTCCTCCTTGGGCAGGACTGGCCGATCCAAGCCCACCCAAGCCCTTCTTCAGTACTCACACTCTCTCCTCAATGCAACTCTTCAGAGAGAGGAGATTCTGGATCTTCTCTATCCCCAAACAGAAGGCAAAACATGACCTGCTGCAAAACCACTATTTAGGAAGATGCTAATGTTGAGGGTGTGGACAGAAATAGGACGAATACTGTGTAAAGATGGCCACTCCCAGCTTTCTGGGTGACACAGAGTGACGCATGGAGGTAATAGGGTGAAATTCCCTTCCGAAATCATATGATGACTAGCGGTTTTCAGAGCAAGAGGTTAGGAAAGGAACGTCCAAACTCCCCTTTCTTCTGCAGTGCCTGGCTGGAAACTTGTGGCAGAGGCTTCTAGTCTGTCCTCGCCATGAGGGCAGGGGCCACAGAGGAGGCCTTCTCAGGGAGAGCACTTTATTTTTGAGAAGGAGCCACTTGCGGATTTCAACCCTTCAGAGCCAGATGGAAAATACGCTTCTGTCCCATGTTTGTTTGGTTCTGGCGGCCTGCAGAACCCCAGCTGTCCTCCCTGCTCACCGGGACAGCAGGTGGCTCGGGCGGGGTGTGGCCCAGGGGCATAATTTCAGCCCGATTTTGAATCTAGTTTGGACGGCTCCTGGGAGCCTTGCGGGGCAGCTGCTTCGGTCCTTCCTGCCTCGGTCCTTCGCGGGAGGCATCTTCCCCGAGCACCTGCGTGTGGTCCGTGCCGCGGGCGCTGGAGGTGAGCCGCGGACCCAGAGGCTCCCCCGCTTCACGGAGCTTCGGTTCTGGGCGGGGAGACAAGCAGAAGCCCGCAACCAACCGCCTTCAGGAACTTCGGGGAGACGAAGCGCGGGGTTCCACCCCCCGCCACGGCTGCCCGGAAGAGCCCGACGACTTCGCGGCTCCGGGTACAGCCGGGGCGCGTTGCTAGGAGCTCGCCTCCGCCGTCGCTAGGGGCTTGCGCGGCCGGCCGAGTCTCGCGAGGATCGCCGAGACTTCGCGCGGGACCGCCCATCGGTTGCCGGGAGACGGCGCAGCCTGGGCCGGGCGGGAGCCGCCTGTCTGAGGGCCGCGACGGGTCCCGACCGCCGCAGCCATGGTGAGCAGGCGGCGGGAGCTGGCTGGGGTCGGTGCGGGGGCCTGGGGCTCCCTACCCGGCAGTGCGCGCAGAGACACGCCTGGACGGGAGGTCTGGGTCCGCGGGACTCGAGTACGCGGAGACCCCAGCATAGAGGGGCCTGGAGCTCCGGGTTCCTGGAACCGAGGCGTTGGCGCTCTCGTGGCGTCTTCGTGGGGAGAGCACTGGCTGCTGGGGCTCCCGCATCCCGGGCCCCGCACGCACTTGGAGCTGAGAGATCCGGGCTCTCCCGGATCCGGTGCTCACGGCGGGGCTCATAGACGTCGTCGTCGTCCCCCGCCCCGTCCCCCCGGCCCCCCCGCCCAGGATCCGGGCTGTGGGTTGCACGCTGTCCCGGAAGACAGAACCTGGGTCAGAAGGATTTCCTGTCTGGAGGGAATTCTCAGTCCTCCATATCCTTGAGACCTAGGGTGAGGGGCCCGGGGGCACACAGGGGCCCCAGGAGCACAGTCGGGTTCATGGGATACCCTAGGACCTCCAGTCTCTGGGGTGGAGAGCCTGGGGCATACCGGAGTGGCTAGAGGTCCCTCTACACCGAGGGTTCCTGGACAGAGCCTCAGGGTTCAGGAGCTGCTGTTTCCTTGGAGAGCCTTGGAGGAGTCAGGCCGGTACCTAGAGGAGCAGGGTGGGACTCCCTGGCTGTCTCACTTTCAGGGCCCTCACCTGCCCCTCCACTCATGATTTAGGGTTCACAGGAGCTCATTTTCCAGGCAGATGCTGCAGGAGTGGGTATCAGCTGATGGGGGGATGCCTCCCCAGGAGCTATGCCCAGCTGCTGCACTTGGCTGTGAGTTGCCAAGTAGTTATGAAACTGGGGCACCTTCCTATGGGATGGACTTCTTGGAGCAGAGGGATTGGAAAAAGGGCAGGACGTTAGGAGTGGAGATCTCAGTGCATGGGTTTTTAAAATCAACTGGAAACGGCCACCAGAATCCTTAGGTTTGTCATTAGCTTGTTGGAATGGGGGGATTTTTCTATTTTCTTTTTGCGTTTCTGTTTTCTAAGGTATCCATGTAAAAGTTTTTTTTTGTAATCATAAAGATGTTACACGTCGACATACCTATAAAGACATAGAAACATTAATAGAGACATTTAGACAAAGACACAGAAAGGTCACAGGAACAGGTGGATGCAAGCACACGTGCACAAGCACGGGTCCCAGAGCTGAGAGAAGTGCAGACAGAAGATAGGGATTTGGAAATTCAGTACCTGCCTGAGGGGCTCTTGGGAAGCGAGTGGAGGTGGGAGGCTCTTCCATCACGTCTGTTGTTAGAAGCAGGCAGTACACTAGGAGCTGCTCCTGTGTGGCGAACCCTTGACAGAGCACCCATGGGGAGTGCCATCTGCTTCAGCTCCTGACCAGGGTTCTCCGAAGGCGTTTTGTATTTGGAAGAAAGGCAGCCTCATGTTTCCACCTGTGATCCTTGCTCTGGACCATTTCTTCGTACACATACCCAGCAGTTTCTTGCAGGTTTCTCTATGGTGGTCACCAAGCATTATCGCCAACATGGTGACGTTTGAGAGCTGCTGTTGGGGTTCTTCCTGGCCAAGTAAATTTTGCATTCATGCCCAGGATGTCTCTGCCACATACCAAGGAGTGGATTTAGAAGGAGTTTCCCCTACCTTCCTTTCTGAGGGAAAAAGTGTTCTCTTCTGAAAAGGAAGATTTGTCCTTGCTTTTCCCTGTGGGTGATTATGGGTGGGAAACCTTAGGGCTGGCACAGTGATGAGCTCCAGGTGGGACGTGAGATCTTGAGCAACAGAAGAGAAACCAGAACAGGTCCTCCTGTCCCAGTGTGCCCCCGGGGGTTAATCAGAGCCAGCCAGAAGCTGATGCCTTTAGAGAGCCTTCCTTCCTCACCCAATCATCTCTTCTTTAATCAAAGGCACCCAAGAAGAAAGGGAAGAAAGGGAAAACCAAAGGTGCCCCGATTGTTGACGGGCTTGCTCCAGAGGACATGAGCAAGGAGCAGGTGAGCAAGGCCTTGGCCTAGTCCTGGGTCGGGATGGTAGTGCCGCTGCTGTTCAGTGTTGTCTCCGGGTGTTTGCCTTCATGAACCTCTTTCAGCTGCCGCCTACTGCCCACCGCTTCCTCATCCATCTCCCCTCAGTCTGCTCCTGCACTTCTGTCCATTTCCATAATTCTCATTGGCTCCAAAGCTATCAAGTACAGTACATATTAAAAAAAATGTAGCCACATCAAAGAAATTTTTTGTAGGGTGGTAGGAATTTGGAAGGAAATGATTTTCTGATATAAAAACTATTTTTAGCTTTCTTCCTTTTTAAAAAAAATATTTTATTTATTTGTTTTTCAGAGGTAGTGAGAGAGAGAGCACAAGCAGGGGGAGCAGCAGAGGGAGAGCAAGAGGAGCGCAATGCTGGACTCGATCGCAGGACTTTGGGATCACGACCTGAGCCGAAGGCTGACACTTAACTGACTGAGTCACCTCGGTGCCCCTTTTTTTTTTTTTTTAAGATTTTATTTATTTATTTGACAGACAGATCACAAGTAGGCAGAGAGGCAGGCAGAGAGGAGGAAGCAGGCTCCCCGCTGAGCAGAGAGCCCGATGCGGGGCTGGATCCCAGGACCCCGGGATCATGACCCGAGCCAAAGGCAGAGGCTTTAACGCACCGAGCCACCCAGGCGCCCCGGTTCCCCTATTTTTAATATTCTATGTATCCGGGCGCCTGGGTGGCTCAGTGGGTTAAGCCGCTGCCTTCGGCTCGGGTCATGATCTCAGGGTCCTGGGATCGAGTCCCGCATCGGGCTCTCTGCTCAACAGGGAGCCTGCTTCCCTTCCTCTCTCTCTACCTGCCTCTCTGCCTACTTGTGATCTCTGTCTGTCAAATAAATAAATAAAATCTTTAAAAAAAAAAAATATTCTATGTATCCTTTCGGTTTTACCCTTCTGATGTTCGCTGAACTGTTATAGTATATGTGTGTACAGTATTCTTATTTATTTTATTTGCCATTAAACGGTAGGAATTATTTATTTTTATTTTTGTATTTTTAAAAAATATATTTTATTTATTTATTTGACAGAAATCAGAAGTAGGCAGAGAAGCAGGCAGAGAGAGAGTAGGAAGCAGGCTTCCCACTGAGCAGAGAGCCTGACATGGGGCTCGATCCCAGGACCCCGAGATCATGACCCGAGCCGAAGGCAGAGGCTTATCCCATTGAGCCTCCTAGGCGCCCCTATTTTTATTTTTGTATTTTTAATAAGCTTTAATTCCCCCCCCTTTTAAAAGAAAGACTTTAGTCATTTATTTGAGAGAAAGAGAGAGGGAGAGCACAGGTGAGGGGAGGGGCGAGGGAGAAGCAGAGTCCCCGCTGAGCAAGGAGCCCAGCACGGGGCTCAACCCCAGGACCCCGAGATCATGACCTGAGTCGAAGGCAGACGCTCAACCAACTGAGACCCTAGGAGTCCCAGTAGGAATTATTTTAAGCCACTTGTCCACTTTGATGACATTAAGGGCCAGAGAACATAATTAAACAATTATAATTTCAATTAAAAGGCACCTAAAAATTGCAACATATGGTGAACCATGAGATGCAATGTTAGTGCCTCTTCTTCCAGCCGCCATGTTGATGAGTGACTAGCAAGTGTCTGCTAGGGACCTATTGGGGGTTCCATGTCAGCTCGTGTGTTTATGTTAATAAACCTATCTTTCTTTTGATAGTTGTTTTTTTTTTTAAAGATTTTATTTATTTATTTGACGGAGAGAGAGAGACCACAAGTAGGCAGGGAGGTAGGCAGGGAGAGAGGAGGAAGCAGGCTCCCCGCTAAGCAGAGAGCCCGATGAGGGGCTCGATCCCAGGACCCTCAGATCATGACCTGAACCGAAGGCAGACGCTTAACCCGCTGAGCCACCCAGGCGCCCCTTTTGATAGTTTTTAAAAAGAGATATGTTTATTTGAGAGAGAGAGAAGCAGATTCCCTGCTGAGCTCAGGGCCTGCCACACGGCTGGATCCCACACTCCTGAGATCCTTACCTGATCCAAAACCAGGAGTTGGAGGCTTAACTGACTGAGCCACTCAGGTGCCCCTGTTTGGATGGTTTTAGGATAAGATGTAAATACAAAGGGACGTTAGAGAGCTGGGCAGAGGCCAGTGCACAGGGGTGAAGAGTTGCTTGATTTGATTTGATTTTTTTAAAGGTAGAAGTGTGTCTTTCTTTTTCTTTAAGATTTTATGTGTTTGAGAGGAGAGAGAAAAGCACAGAGATGGAGTAAGAGGGAGAAGCAGGCTCCCTGCCCAGAAGGGAGCCTGATGCGGTGCTCGATCCCAGGATTGAGATCATGATCTCGCTCAGATCATGACCTGAGCTAAAGGCAGATGCTTCACTGACTGAGCCCCCCAGGCACCCTGAGTTGCTTTATTTTATATGCAGAGAAGCCACAGGCAGTTTAAGCAGATGATGATGGGTTCAGGTTTGTGTCAGAGCGATCACCGGGGCTGCTGCGTGGGGGTTGGACAGCACATCCCATCGCCCCAGCACTCGAGCTGTTTCTTGTCTCTGTGGGTACAGAACTGTGACATAGCAGTGATCGGATGTCCCGCATGTGTGGGACTGACGACCTCAGAACTATCCAGGGTCCAGGCAGGGCTGAGGGGCTGGGGACTGCAGTCTGTTCTTTGGATGCTTACCCTATGGACATTGTGCTGCAGGGCGGTATGTTTTCTAATTTTTAAAGAGAAACTAGAAATCTGTGTATTTATGAGAAATCTGAATACTGAGTGAAATCTGATACCATGAGCCAGTCAAAGTAGGTAGCCTGGATGTCCCAATTATTTATTTCTTTAATTTAAATTTTACTTATTGATATATGAAAGGGTCCGTAGACAAAAGGACGAGACTGATACAAAGCGAAGGTCAAGCAAAGCTTTATTTCGCGCCAAGCATCGAGAATCAAACTGACCGGCCAGGGCCGTCTCTTGCAAAGAGGCGACCCCCCCAAGCCTCACAGACTTACTTTTATAGAATAAAGGCCATGTGGTTGAGCCTGGCTACACACAGGTGGCCAGTTGAATTACATTCTACCCCATAGTAGTTCTTTGAACTAGCCTATCACCCTGGTCAGAATTGGCGCCCAAAAGGCAGGGCCCACATTCTTGGGTGGTTAGGGAGGTGCTTTCCTGATTGGATGTTTCCATCTGGCCGGACACGTCCTTGAATCTGGACTCTGTTATCGGGGGCTATTTGGCCGTATTTCACCAATTCTGTTTCTAAGCGCTTTCCTCTTGGGGGAAGGGGCAGGTTCAATCTAAGTTTACTGCATAAACAACAAAATGGCTCACTCTGGCTAAGTAGGCCCTTACAATATACAGCGTGTATTGGTTTCAGGAGTAGAAATCAGTGATTCGTCACTTCCATATAACACCCAGTGCTCATCCTAACAGATGCTCTCTTCAATGCCCATCACTCATCTATCCCATCCCCCACCTACCACCCCTTCGTCAATGGTCAGCTTGTTCTCCATTGTTAAGAGTCTCTTATGGTTGGGGTGTCTGGGTGGCTCAGTTGTTAAGTGCGTTTAGCTGGGGTCATGATCCCGGTCTCCTAGGATCGAGTTCCGCATGGGGCTCGCCGCTGAGCGGGGAGCCTGCTTCTCCCTCTTCCTCTGCCTGCTGCTCTGCCTACTTGTGCTCTCATTCTTTCTGTTGAATAAACAAAATCTTAAGAAAAAAAAGGAGTCTCTTACGGTTTATCTCCCTCCTTCTCTATCCCCCTGCCCCCCTTGCCATATGTTCATTTGTTTTCTTTCTTAAATTCTACATATGTGAGTGAAATCAGACAGTATTTGTCTCTCTCTGACTTCTTTCACTAGCATAATACCCTCTTGCTCCATTCATGTTGTTGCAAATGGCAAGATTTCATTCTTTTTGGTGGCCGAGTAGTGTTCCATTGTGTGTATATGAACACATCTTTATCTTTTAGTACTGTGAGGACCTATTTAGCCAGAGGCTTCCATCCAGGTTAAACAATAACCTTGTTGTTTAACCCTTAAACTGTCCCTGCTCCCCTTCCCCCAGGGGACTTACTTAAAAACAAGTCCTGGAAACCAGCCCCAGGTAACAAAGCCTAGATACAAGGGTGGGTCAGGCCAGGTGGAGATGTCCGATCAGTGAGAGGTTGCATACGTCTCCTAGCTACCAAGGAGTATGTGCCCCGTCCTTTGGGAGCCTTTTGGGTGCCAATTCTAACTAAGGTGATAGGCTAGGTCAAATGTCTACTGTAGGGTAAATTGTAATTCAATTGGTCACTTATATGTGACCTAACATGACTGTGGAGTTTCCTCTGTGTGTTACAATCTCATTGGCCACCTGTGCGTGGCCAGGCCCAACCACACGGCCTTTGCCTTTGAAAGCTAGTCTGTGAAACAGAGAAAGGTCGCCCTCTTGTAAGAGGTGCGGCCCCAAACATTCGGTTTGATTTTTGATGCTTGGCGTGAAATAAATCTTTGCTTGACCTTCTCTTTCTATCAATCCCGTTCCTTTAATCTCGGACCCATTATTGGGGGGCATATCAGTAGCATCTTCTTTTAATAGCATCAGTTTATGAACATCTAGACTCTTTCCAGAGGTTGGCTATTGCGGACGTTGCTGGTATAAAATTGGGGTGCATATGACCCTTTGGATCCATACTTTTGTGTCCTTTGGGTAAATACCCAGTAGTGCAATTGCTGGGTCTTAGGGCAGTTCTAGTTTTAATGTCTTGAGGAACCTCCATGCTGTTTCCCAGAGTGGCTGCACCAGCTTGCATTCCCACTGACAGTGCACGAGGGTTCCCCTTTCTCTGCATCCTCGCCAAATCTGTTGTTTCCCGACTTGTTAATTTTAGCCACTCTGATTGGTGTGAGGTGGCATCTCGTTGTGGTTTTGGTTTGTATTTCCCTGATGCCGAGTGATGTGGAGCACTTTTTCATGTGTCTGTCGGCCATCTGGATGTTGTCTTTGCAGAAATGTCTTTTCCTGTCTTCTGCCCGGCTCTTGATTGGGTTGCTTCTTGGGTGTTGAGTTTGATAAGCTCTTTCTAGATTTTGGATACTAACCCTTTATCCAATACATTGTTTGCAGATGTCTTTTCCCATTTTGGGCCACCTTTAGGTTGTTTCCGCAGCTTTTTATCTTGATGAAGTCCCAGTAGTTGATTTTTGCTTTTGTTTCCCTTGCCTCTAGCGATGTAGCTAACCAATTCTTTATGGAAAGGAAATTCACAAGGAAGCTAAGAGCCTGCCTCACTTTTCTCTTAAATTTAACCGATTTGCAGATTTGGCTGCCATTGTCTTTGGACCAGGCCTTTTTGATGTTAGCTGGTCTTCTGGTTTTATATATTTTTTTGCTTAACACATATCTTTAGAGGTGAGTGTTTTAAAATTAGCATTATTCTGGGGTGCCTGGGTGGCTCAGTGGGATAAACCTCTGCCTTCAGACCAGGTCATGATCTCAGAATCCTGGGATCAAGCCCCACATCAGGCTCTCTACTCAGCAGGGATCCTGCTTCCTCCTCTCTCTCTGCCTGCCACTGGGCCTATTTATGATCTCTCTCTCTGTGTGTGTCAAATAAATAAATTTAAAAAAATTAGCATTATTCTGTGAATATGTGTATATGGTGCTACACCATTTCATTATCCGTGTGTCTTTGGACCGTATAATCTTCCAGTAGATTTACTCTAATTTCTCAATCATTTCCCTATTTAAAATCGTCTTAGATTATTTCCTTAAAAGAATTTTTTTAAAAGATTTTATTTATTCATTTGAGAGAGAGAGACAGAGATAGTGACAGAGAGCAGAAATGGGGAGGGAGAAGCAGGCTCCCTACTGAGCAGGGAGCCCGACCTGGGGCTCCATCCCAGGACCCCAGGATCATGACCTGAGCCGAAGGCAGATATTTAACCAACTGCCAAGGTGCCTCCTTAAAAATTTTTTAAAAGATTTATTTATTTATATGAGAGGGAGAGAGAGAGAGAGAGAGAGAGAGCGCGCGTGCGCACACACGCGAGCTGGGGGAGGGGCAGAGGGAAAGAGCCTTTAGGCAGACTCCCTGCAGAGTGGGGACCCAGGCAGTGGCTCGATCCCATCACCCCATGAGAGCATGACCTGAGCCTACGGAGAGAGTAGGACTCTCAGGCCACCCAGGTGCCCCTTTTGATGGCGTGATAATGGTGTGACTACTATCTTTGAGCAGAAAGCTATTGTGTTCTTTTGAGAAATTTCTTTTGTCTGAATTCCCAGGAATGGAATAAAGGATATAATCATTTTATGTTTATTAGCCACATTCAAGATATTTCTGCTATTTTCTGAATGTGTCCTGTCCTTAGGCCTTCCTAGCATCCTATTTTAATTTCTTACCTTTAGTTTTTCTTGTTCTTAGGTGAGAGTGGCCCTCCTTTCTTCTTGGCACTGGGTGGGCCCCTGCTGGGCCCTCATGGCTCTGCCCTGCCCGGCAGGTGGAGGAGCACGTTGGCCGCATCCGTGAGGAGCTGGACCGTGAGCGAGAGGAGCGCAACTACTTCCAGCTGGAGCGGGACAAGATCCACACCTTCTGGGAGATCACGCGGAGGCAGCTGGAGGAGAAGAAGGCCGAGCTGAGGAACAAAGACCGGGAGATGGAGGAGGCTGAGGAGAGGCACCAGGTCGAGATCAAGGTTAGTGGGGCTGACTGGCCTATCCTTGCGGCGGGACATACCGCATGGAACAGCGGAGCCGGATGGGGGCCGGGGGGAGGGTAGCATTTTCTCTCCTCTGGTGCAGCCCTTTGTATCCTTTACAGTGAGAAACGAAGGTATTTCTTGCAGAAGAGTATGTGTGTGCAGGGCACCCACGGATGCAGGACTGTGTGTGAGTGTGCAGGGGTGTGTGTGTGCGGGTGTGCAGGGAGCCCGCACGTGCAG